CATACTAAACAAGAATCTTTATCGATTTTTTGTTTCAGATGATTCTTACGACCTGTAGGACGGTCGCCAGCGAGGTCCTTTTTTTTCGCAGTGGTCCACGGCGCACCATGCCCTACCTCGGAATTTTCATAAAATGACTTAAAATTTTTTTACAAGCAACTTAAAAGTACCATAAATATACCTGAAAAATTTTGAGTGTCTATATTTTTTACTTTCCTAAAAAAAAAATCATGAAAATAGCCTATTTTTCGGCCTTACTAATGAGAATGTACCCTTAATAATCAAATTTTCAAAATGTCAAATATGACAAAAAAATTTATGATTAAGAATCCAAATATTATCTTTACGAAAGCAGACAAAGGAAATATCACGGTAGTCATGGATAGTATAGAATATAAACAGAAAATGCATGCAATGTTAAATGACACTAATACTTATGTCATAGTCAAGAAAGATCCATCGAGAGCGCTTACAAATAATTTAAGAGAGTTACTTGCAAGATGGAAAAATCGAAACTATATTAACAATACCGATTACAAAAAATTATACAATTCGGATGGCATCCTACCAAGATGTTATGACTTATCTAAGGTTCACAAGCCTAATTATCCGTTGAGAATAATCATTTCTTCCAATGACAGTACATTATATTTCTTAGCTTCCTTCCTATATAAAATTATGCATAAGAATATCCCTGGAGCTTCCAGCTATAAAAAGGATAGTTTTGAATTGGTGGAAAGGTTATCTGACAATATAATTACATTCTGATCTCCTTTGACATCATTTCGCTTTTCACTACTGTTCCGCTTGACTTAGCTATTGAAAGCATTTCTCATAGATGGCAAAACATTTCCAGGGACTGTAACATTCCAAAAGAGGAATTTATCATTGCTTTAGACTTGTTTTTAATTCGATTTTCTTTACATTTGATGGGAAAATATATAGACAAACATATGGTCTACCCATGGGATCACCATTGTCTCTGGTGATCGCAAACTTGGTGTTACAGGATTTGGAAGTGAGGGCTCTGGAAATGTTACAATTTACAATTCCATTTTATGTACAATACGTTGACGATATTGCCACTGCGGTTCCTTCTAACATGACTACTGAAATTCTTAATATTTTAAATTCATTTACATTCGAGACTTCAATTCACAGCAGAGATTGGCGGAAAAAATTTTAATTTTTTGGGCGTTACAATTATCAATAATGACAACATCCTGGAATTTGATTGGTTTCATAAACCAACTTTTTCAGCGAAATATTTAAATTTTATGTTTTCACATCTTGTTTCACAGAAAAAAGGTGTTGTCATTGAAATGATTGATAGAGCTTTCCTTTTGTCACATCCGAAATTTCATAATAAGAATATTGTTTTCATCATTGAAACTCTACTCAATAATGACTACCCATTAGACTTCATATTTGATAATGTAAATGCGCGATTAAAATCTCTTTGTTATAAACAAACTTTAAAACAAAATAGTGACAAAAATTCTGTCGATACGAAAAACTTTCCTTGGATTACGATTCCATATGTTCAGAACATATTGGAAAAATTTAAAAATATAACAAAAGATTAAATGTTAAGTTAGCTTTTTATAGTCTCAACAAAATGAATAAATTTATTAAAGTCCACAAAGATGTGCTTCCAATCGAATCAAAGAAAAATGTAGTGTACCAAATTTCATGTAAGGATTGCAACGCAACCTATGTAGGATAAACGGACGGAAAACTTAAAACCAGAATCGTAGAACATGGGAATCATAGTATAAATAGAAACACCACTACCCAATCAGTAATCACAGATCATACATTGCGTCACGATCACAAATTTGATTGAATGAATGCAAAAATCCTAAATACCGCAAGATATTTAACATCCGAAATGTTATGTATCAAATTGTAAAAAAATAGTACAAATTTACAATCAGACACTGAATGTTTCAATCATGCGTATGTCCGAGCAGAAATTGAACCTAAAGGCTAGCTAACTATTAGATAGAAAAGTTGTGTCTTAGATAACTGCTGTCTAGTATTTCTGGCTAGTTACTAGCTAGTTATGTAACGCTCACTTCTCCTAGGAGCTGTACAAGAAAAATTAACTAGTAGCTAGACAAAATATGTTACACAGTAGCTGTACAAGAAAAATTAGCTAATAGCTAGATATAAAATGTTGCACAGTTACAATGTGGAAAATCATAGTTAGCTACTAGCTAGTAATGTAACGCTCACTTCTCTCAGTAGCTGTACAAGAAAAATTAGCTAATAGCTAGACATAAAATGTTACACATTCATGACGTAGAAAATCATAGCTAGCTACTAGATAGTAATATTCTCCTAGCAGTTGTATAAGAAAAATTATCTAGTAGCTGTCTAACTAGACAGCAACTAAATAGGAAAAAAAAACATTTTTTCGACTAGATTTTTTTATAGCATATTTTCTACCTAATTTCTAGAGATAATTTTTTAAAAATTATATTTCCTCTCCATCTTTTGTGTGTCCTCTTTAAGTGCTGAACGGTTCACTAATACCTAGGAAAAAACTTTTAACATCTGATGGGATTTGAACTCATGACTCCATCCACAGTCCAGGCTTTTGAGCCGCTCACCTAACGTACTGCTCCACTGCTACCTTGTCGAAAGAGATGGTTCGAATTGTCTGTATAAGTTATTCAGCATAAATATGATTTAATACCTAGTAACTAGATAGTACCGACTAGATAAGTTTTCTAATTTGTCACTGGCTAGTCACTAGCTGTATATTCCGTAATATCAATAAATCTGTTTAGAGACTAGCTAGTAATTACGACGTTACATCTACATCCTTTTTACTGCGGGCATCCACTAGATGGATTTTTTGACATAAGAAATCTCTCTAGTGACTGCATAGTAATTACGATGTAACACCTACATCTTATTTACTAGGCAGCTGCTAGACAGATTTCTTGACATGAAAAAATCAGTCTTCTCTTACAAGATTTCTTAATATAAAAGAAATTAATACAAAAATATTTAAAATATAACGTATTAATTATAACAATTACTTAATCGGCCGAGAAACTGATGACTAATCACGTTTGCTGTTTAGTAGAACTAATGATATGTATCATTTGTATAAAAGATTTGATATCAACAGCTGGCGCCAAGTTAAATTTTGCCATTTTAATCCTCCCAAAGAAAAAATATAATACACGGAGAGAATTTTCTTTTAAAATTTACCCTGAAAATATGGTGATTGTGGTACATACAATATTTTAAAGATTTTTACCATGCACTTCAGTAAAATTGATCAAACTTATTTTATACTTTATTGTAGT